TTGGACAATGGTAAAAATAAATAAATTGAAAAAATTGAAAAAAGTAGTTGTGTCATTGTTTCGTGTAGATTTCAAATAACATGCCATTTTATGTCAACATATTTCTGTTACATTTGTAGTGCTCGTGGTTTTATATTCTTATGATCCTGTTTGTTTGATGAGTATATCCTTCTTCCTTACTTCACATATTTACTGCTGCTTGGCTAGCTTTAGTCATGCTAGCATCAGCATGGGTAGAAACAGATACACATCAGAGACATCACATGTAGCTTGTGTTTATGTTCAGAGTGACATCTGATTTAAAAGCAGGCAGCAAAGCACTGAGCAGCATATCAGTCAGCACAGAAAACAAATGCCATAAATGTCATCAATTAGGCTGGAATAGTTTGTTGTTTGTCTTCTATTGTAAGTGCTTTACATTTCAGCATGACATCCTGTATGTGTCCTACACTGAGGACACTTGAAACTGGTCATTTTCTTAGAATGGAGCTAAAGATAAAAACAAAACAAAACAAAACTTTCATAAGAAACCTTTATTCTGCAGTAAGGGACATTAAAAACCTAATAATGTTATCATTAAAAATATTAAAATGTGAAGTAAATGGTAAATGGCCTGTATTTATATAGCGCTTTACTAGTCCTAAGGACCCAAAGCGCTTTACATATCCAGTCATCCACACATTCACACACTGGTGATGGCAAGCTACATTGTAGCCACAGCCACCCTGGGGCGCACTGACAGAGAAGTAATCATAATTTTTGCACAAAATCAAAATAATCTGTTTATGACCCAGCAGTCTTAGCTAATTATAGGCCAATCTCCAACCTTCCTTTCATATCAAAAATCCTTGAAAGAGTAGTTGTCACACAGCTAACAGATCATCTGCAGAGGCTTATTTGAAGAGTTTCAGTCAGGCTTTAGAGCTCATCACAGCACAGAAACAGCTTTAGTGAAGGTTACAAATGATCTTCTTATGGCCTCTGACAGTGGACTCATCTCTGTGCTTGTCCTGCTAGACCTCAGTGCAGCGTTCGATACTGTCGACCATAATATCCTATTAGAGCGATTAGAACATGCTGTAAGTATTTCAGGTACTGCACTGCAGTGGTTTGAATCATATCTATCTAATAGACTCCAATTTGTGCATGTAAATGGAGAGTCCTCTTCACACACTGAGGTTAATTATGGAGTTCCACAGGGTTCAGTGCTAGGACCAATTCTGTTTACATTATACATGCTTCCTTAGGCAGCATCATTAGAAGACATAGCATACATTTTCACTGCTATGCAGATGACACCCAGCTCTATCTGTCCATGAAGCCAGATAACACACACCAATGAGTTAAACTGCAGGAATGTCTTAAAGACATAAAGACCTGGATGGCCGCTAACTTTCTGCTTCTTCATTCAGATCAAACTGAGGTTATTGTACTCGGCCCTGAAAGCTTAGAAATATGGTATCTAAGCAGATTCTTCTCTGGATGGCATTACCTTGGCCTCCAGTAACGCTGTGAGAACCTTGGAGTCATTTTTGACCAGGACATGTCCTTCAACGCACATATTAAACAATATGTAAGACTGCGTTCTCCATTGCACAACATCTCTAAAGTTAGAATATCCTGTCTCAGAATGACGCTGAAAAACTAGTTCATGCATTTATTACTTCCAGGCTGGACGACTGTAATTCATTATTATCAGGATGTCCAAAAAAACTCGCTGAAAAGCCTTCAGCTGATCCAAAATGCTGCAGCAAGAGTCCTGACAGGGACTAGAAAGAGAGAGCAGATTTCTCCTGTTTTGGCTTCCTGTTAAATCCAGAACTGAATTCAAAATCCTGCTCCTCACATACAAGGTCTTAAATAATCAGGCCCCATCTTATCTTAATGACCTTGTAGTACCATATCACCCTATTACAGCACTTCGCTCTTGCTCTGCAGACCTACTTGTTGTTCCTAGAGCAGGGCTCGCAAAATCGCTAGCCCGACGTCCCGGGCTAGCGATTTTTCCAGTCGGGCTACCAAAATCTATCTCAGCCCTGCCCGTCGGGCTATCATAGGAAGGAAAATATATGTCAATGCTTTTGCATTCTTTCGGAAATGTAGCTGGGTAATTATGTCATTGGCATCGGTGAGCCACTGTCAATATGTGACATATTGAAATCGCGTTTGAATTTGCGCTTGTTTTTTGCTTCACTTTGCAATCGCGCAAACTGTGCATAGAGAGCGACAGTACTGATTGGTGAGTGACGATAATTTGCGCACCAATTCCTCTGACATTGTCTTATCAATCGTTAGCTTACTATGCAAACATGACAAGTGAAATCTCCCGCAGCTTAAACATGTGAGAGGTTGATCGCGCAGAGAATCGCTGACAACGTGAGCGCGTGTGTAAAAGCAGCAGGATATATATTTTAGTTCAGCCAAATAAGACAGGTCAGGGTGAAGAAGTGACAGCCAAAGAAAAGCTTACCACAAAACGGAAAAGAACAAAAAGAAAGTGCAGCTTTATGGTTTCATGGACAAAAGAATTTCTGTGGCTGCAATATGACAAGCTAAATAACCAGGGGTGCACATAAGTGGTCCGCAGGTGCGCATTCGCTGTCAAATAAAAAACACGCATAAGATAAGAAGTTGCAACGCGTGTTTGTGTACATAAGATTTTCTGGAGGAGGACAGACATTTGTTTAGAACTCTTAAAGATGTCGAAGAAGCTCCTTTAAGCAATTACTTTAGTGTTCCTCCACCTCCAAAGAAATGTCAGAAGGAGTCCGAACCACAAAAGAAGCGCGTGTTCTTGGAAAAGTGGTTGCAGGAGGTGAGCTGGCTTCAAACAAATGATGAACGCACAGAGATGTGGTGCAGAATGTGCCGTGAAAATCCCACTCTAGCGGACAAAAACAGTGCCTTTTATATGGACGCAAACGCGTGTTGCAACTTCTTATCTGGTGCGCCGCTTAGTTTGACGTCACATCATGTGTCACAAGACACAAACTTGTGGTGTGTCGACTGGTCTTGATTTTTACAACCAGGTGCGTTGCCCATCTGGGTGGAAGAGTCTTTTACCCCATGTTAATGATGCTCCAGAACAGGAGCTCAGAGACGTGCAGATACACAGAAGGAGACGCTGGAACAGTTTGGAAAGAACAAAAACACTCGGCAAAGTCTTGACTTCCAGTTTTGACTTTTCCTCGCCTCTGTCAGCACTGACATGGTGGTGTAGTCTGAGTGGTGACACCTGTGGCTCAGGAGAATACTGCAGTGAGTATTTTATACCCGCAGTACTACTTTAAATGGTCCCAATTAGGGCTGGGCGATATGGCCTAAAATCCATATCGCGATATAATTTGAAGCACGTGCGGTAACGATATATATCGCGATATATTCTTTTCTTCTGTATAACGTATTTTTCACACTATAAGGACTTAAAATCCTTTAATTTTCTCAAAAATCGAGAGAGTGTTCCTTATGTATGAATTCTGGTTGTGCTTACTGACCTCGAACCGATTTTGGCTGCAGATATCTGTTAAAAATGTTTGATGGATTGTCAGAGCATTACGGCTGCCGTAGTGAGGAGCCTCGCGGAGTAATCTGGGTCCAAAACTCCGTCCTCTTCAGGTCCCAAATCAAACGAACACTGAGAGTTAAAAACGGTCTAAATTCTTTCATCTTTAATAAAATCATCAGCGTTGCTGCTTTATCAGGTGTAACAGTTAGGTTTAACATCCAGGCATCCATGAAAACAGAATTTATTAAATTTAACGGAGTTAAAGTTAACAGGAAGTTAGCTCGCTAGTTACCACCTAAACATTTCATACCATGTTCTGACTGAGAGATTTTTGAAACTAATTCAAACGTACAGCTCTGCTGTCACTTCCAACATAAATGAAGACAGAAACTAAACAGCAGTGATGTTTGCAGGGTTACTGAAGTTGGGCTAGCTGCTATATAATGTTGTGCTACGTGACTGCTAGCGACACAGCTATGTTAGCATAACATTAGCACAGTGAAGCTGGAGGTTGAACGCCAACTTTTTTTCCACTCGATAAAAGTTAACGTGAGGGATTCTGGTGGTCAGGGACAAATGCAATCACATAGCAGGATGCTGTACACGGGCCAAACTAAGTCAGGAGAACAACTGAGATTATTCATCCACAATACGAGGTTAGTTATTAATATACTGAAACAACACCGGAATAGAGCAGCTGCGAGAGAATCCAACATTAATGAATCAATGTTACGGAAGTAGAGGAAGCGCAGTTTTTGGCTTTCCCCATATTTCAAAAGTGCTTCATCTCTTTGCTGTGACTGTCGGCATAATTTGCAGATGATGATGGTTGTAGCCGCTGCGATGCTTTTGACCAAAACAGGCGCAGCTTGATGACATCATCAACATGCGCTAACGTGATTGAGTGGTGTAATCAAAATCTCTATCGTTGGCCAAATTTATATCGTTTCTATCGCCCACCCCTAGTTTCATACATGACTGTTGGAGTGAGTATACTTGGCTCATAACTTGTCCCGTCTGCTTGACAATCAGTACACAATGTTGCCATCTAGAGGACAGAAAATGTAATTAATTTGATTGTCCTAGTCCCAAAAATCTATTTGTAATTTCAGTTAATTACACATCAACAGCATCGAGGACACAGGTGTTTAAATCCAAAAATGTGTTTTTATTTACCCTGAAATATGAAAAATGATGAACAAATCCAAAACTTGGACAGGCAGACCAAGAAAAGAGGTCAACTCGATAAACTCCAAATATTAGCTACAAAAACAAACACAAGACAAACTGGAACTTAAATACTGGGTTAGCTAAACCCTGTGACACACAAGGCTGTCACATGACCAACACTACAAAACAATGAAACTCCAAACACCTCCCCAGCCTGATAAATGAAGCTGTTCAGCAGTCTTTCAGACAGATTCTGGATGCCGTGGTACCTCCTTCCCAAACGCAGGAGGAGTGTGGAGCCATCAACAGCAATGCTGATGGTGCCATGTCGTCTGGAAACCCAGTGATTTGGTTGGTGGATCAGCTGGGTGAGGAGTAGTGGGCTGAGCACACGCTGCTGTGGAGCCTTTTGCGCAGCATGATGTTGTTGGAGGTGTTACTGCTGTTACCATCATGGAACAGGAACTGAACTGAAGTGCAGGAACAGCAGTAGCACATGAGTGGTTTGAGAGCACCAGGGAGGGCGTCCTTTAAGGATGCAGACTGAAACAGGTCGTGGGTGGGTGAGGATGGACTCAGTGTACTCAGGCACATGATGATAAAAGTCACTGCTGTGGGGCAACAGTCAGTATAACAACAGCTAACAGAGAGATGGTGCCGATCTCAGTGGAGAAATCATTGAAGTCAGGATCGTTTGTCCAAAATATAAATGACAGAGAAAGTGTGTGTTGTAACCTGACTTGACAGCCCTGGTTTCTGTTGACAGGAGCGAGTACGGCTCAGAGGTACCACCAGGAAAAATATTTTATCTTTGCGTTGACGCCACAACAAGTTAGAGAAGTGTGCATCTCCCGGTAAGCCTGTTTCTTGATTGGTCAGTCCATCTGCAGTAACTGAAAAAAGTTTTTAAAATCGACTTTAACTGATTTCAACTTTTTCAGAGACTTTCTACCAGGTGGGAGGAGAGACTATATGGTTCAGATTCAGCTGAGGTGAGGATGTTCAGTTTTCTGTAAACACTTAAAGTGACATTTATACACCGAACACAGTGCCTAAAGACAACACGACATTGCAGATTTGATCAATCTAAACCGATGTGTGACTTATACACACTGAATTTTGAGGAAAATTCGTCCTCAAAAAACGAACGGTTTAAAAACAAAAGAAGAAGCTGAAGCGATGATGATCTGGTCCTGATGATCCTGAAGGAGAAAAGGAGGAAGCAGAGATTCCGAGTTCCTCCAGTTCTCACGAGCAGGCAGCAACATGGAGAATATCACAGCGTACATACATGTTTCAGGATGGCAGTTTGAACTCAGAGAGGTCATTCAGATGGACCCAGAGCAGCGTCTAGCTGTGTCTGAGCTACAAACTGTATTTCCATATCATTGAATATTCATACCAGTGCGAGATTTGAGCTACGAGGGCACCTGTTACCAAATGCTGTAATCTGATTGGTCAGATCTCTTGATTCGGAAACGTCAGAAAGCTCCAGCTTGGTTCAGATATACACGGCGGGTGAATTGACGCGGTCGGTGTGAAGAGGGCTTTACATTAGAACCTGACCCCCGTCATATTGTCCTCTGTGAGATGTTAGTGTGGATGTTTTACACTCTGTAGTGGCTGATAAATGAAAACAGGAGAAATACCAGCCCACTGATCTGAACACACTGGGACTGGTCCCTGACTTCCTGTGACAATCAAACCAGATTATTTCTGTCATATTATGACAGTAAACATTCATAAATAACTGCTTGTAACAGATCTCGTTGTTTGCGTTTCAGAAAAAACATTATTGTCCAGATTTTTAAATATAAATACAGCTCTGTCTTATTTCTCCTACAGCAGTTAGGCTCGACCCACTTCTCAGTTAAGAGTAATGATGAAGTCTCAGTTACCTAAATAGAGTATATCAGAGTATATCAGAGTATATCTGTCTATATCAGAGTATATCTGTGTATATCTGTGTATATCAGAGTATATCTGAGTATATCAGAGTATATCTGTGTATATCAGAGTATATCAGAGATCAGTATATCAGAGATATCAGAGTATTCAGAGTATATCAGAGTATATCTGTGTATATCAGAGTATATCAGAGTATATCAGAGTATATCAGAGTATATCTGTGTATATCAGAGTATATCTGTGTATATCTGAGTATATCAGAGTATATCAGAGTATATCAGAGTATATCTGTGTATATCTGTGTATATCAGAGTATATCTGTGTATATCTGTGTATATCAGTGTATATCTGTGTATATCAGAGTATATCTGTGTATATCAGAGTATATCTGACTATATCTAAAGTTTCGTACTGGGCTCTGAAATGTTTCTGTGTGTTTTCAGGTTTTGTTTATCAGAGACGAGCTGCCCTCAGGAGGACAATTACCCCAACAGTCTTTGCATAAAGGTCAATGGAAAACTGTTTCCTTTGCCAGTAAGTGCTCGTTGTACTGCAGTCAAACAAGAAGCCAGGCAAACTTTATATTGTGAATATGCTAACGTTGGATTTCTGCCTGCAGGGCTACGCACCGCCACCAAAAAATGGCGTGGAACAGAAGAGACCAGGAAGACCACTCAACATTACCTCCCTTGTTAGACTCTCATCTGCAGTACCCAATCAGATTTCAGTGACATGGGCACCTGAAATTGGAAAGGTAAGAGAAGAAGCTCAAGTTGGAAATGTTTTAAGCATGCTTATGTTTATGCGCTGTGATGTGTGGAGGTGGTGATGCTCTCTGAATTCACAGGGTTGTAATCTGGATACTGCCACACACACACTTCTCTTTAAAGGAACACATTTACAGTCACATCGTTCTAGTCTCATCTCTGAAGCAAAACAGCAGAATTGGAAGAAACAGCAACCGGGCTCCGGCTGCAGGGACTCACAGCAGCAACAACCTGTTAAAGAGAAACTCACCGTAGATATGAAACAGACAGATGTGTGTATGGGATGTTGTCGAGACACGAGACTTTACCTGATGCCAAACATCAGTGATCCACACTGTGTATGAAGTGTCTCTGTTGTTATTATTAGTGTGACAATGAGAAGCATCAATAGAGATTGACAGACCACGTGATTTTTGCGCATTGCATGCCGGGAACTCGTGGCAAAACAATCCAAGTACCTGCATCAAATGCAAGCATTTGCAGCACCGCAAAATGTTCATTCTTCGGTTCCAATAAATTCTTGCTTTTTCTTTGCCCCCCAAAAAGGTATGTACAAAACGAAGGAGAGCAATGCCGGTCCGTACAAAGACAGACTTGATGAAAAGTCAAAGAAAAGATACGAGGAAAAAATCAAAGGTGTGAAAGGGTCAGACCCTTACGAGCACACAGAGTGGACAAAAGACATCAGCGTGCTGCCCAACTTTCACCACGCTCATATTTATAATCATACGCTTCTTGGAGTGAGTGCATACACTCATGAAGTTTAGTAACTTCAGGTCACTGCAACAAGCCCAGGTACAGTTTACCGACGGATGGGTGCAGGACCTTGAAATGCACCGTGTAGAACGAAAGACCATCGTACGTATCATAAGTTTACCAGTCTCACAAATCGTCGTCATAAATACACATTCGTTAACCGTTTATTAATAGGACCTTTGAGCTCAACGGTAATTAATTAGTAGTGGAAATAATTTCTGGTAGCATCACAGAAATGTAGCAGTGACAATAATATTGTATGCTGTAATCGCAGTGGACAATTAGTGATACAAAACAACTGTTTTATCCTGTGAATAAAAGTATATGTTTTTGTCAATGTACCATAATAACAGAAGCGAAACGCAATATTGTGTCAGGACAATTCACTATTTATGCACAATAAATAAAGGAGCATAGAGCGACAATTTCTGTTCAGCGCCAGACTTGCTTGTAACCTATATCACCAATTATGTTATGAAAATGACGCATTAACTACAACAGCAGACTGACCTTCGTGTAAATGCTTGGAGCAGACTAACCTGTGAGCTGGAGTGTTCTGGGACGTTATATTTGGTCTTTGAATGGCTGCAATCCAGTCGCATCTTTGTTACTTCAGAAACATGGCTCGAACAATTTCTCTTCCACGACGTAATCCGATAACAACCGATCTCTTTACCCGTCGGCTTCCCGTGGCTGTCATGCGACCGGCTATTGCAGTTAATGATACAACAGCTTCTTGACATTTTTGTGTTTCTTTTTATCGCTGTGTGACTGATTTCAATTGAAAGCCTGCGTGCGATAGTACCGCTTGCCACGAGTTCCCAGAATCCTTTGCGGTTTTACCCCTGAGTGACGTCACATTTTCAATCTCTATAGCTGAAGCCGGTTGTGTCATTGAACATCTGTTGTTCCTTCCTGTTATTGATGTCATTTTAATCCTGAGCGTGTGTTTGACTCCTGCTGTTTCACACTGAGTATGAGCCACGCCGTCTTTGTTTCAGACCTACTCCATGTCTGTGTACTTGGTGAGGCAGCTGACGTCTCCCCTGCTCCTGCAAAGACTGAGGATGAAGGGCATCAGGAACCCAGACCACTCCAGAGCACTGAGTAATAATGAGCTTGTTACTGTAACAGTTACAGAGCAGCAGTAACTGTTACAGCAGTAACTGTTACAGCAGTAACAAGCCCCCCCCACACACACAGTACAGGTCTGATTGTAATCAAATGGTCTTCACCCAAACGTGAGCTGCATGAGCGACTACAACACTGATGCCTCAGCTTTACAGTCTTACTACAACTTTATTCATCCTCCTCACACTTATGTTTCCCGCGTATACTCAGGTAGATCACATGACATCAGGTAGATCACATGACATCAGGTAGATCACATGACATCAGGTAGATCACATGACATCAGGTCATGCTGACAAACAGCAGAGACATGACAGTTATGTTCTTAGTTATTTCCTGCCTGAGACTGACATGTTCCAGGCAGGAGTCAAAGCTGAGTATAAGACCAGGCTCATAGTGTAGAGATGTGGTGAAGCCCTGTCGTGTGTGTTTCAACCTGTGTCTTTGCATTTTGCCCTCCTCTCTGTGTTCCAGTCAAAGAGAAGCTGACAGCAGATCCAGACAGTGAGATTGCTACAACAAGCCTTCGAGTGTCTCTTATGTGCCCGGTAAATAAGCAGCCATGCAACATGTGACACGTTTGAAGCTCCCTGAAGTTTGAACACTGTGTGTGCTGAGTCCACGAGTCAGAACGAGGTGTCTACATGTAGTGTTACTAACAAGCTCCACCTTAAACCCTCCTCACTGTAGAACTGCACTGATATAGAACTGCAGCCAGACTCTGTTCTATGGGACGTTTTGTGGCTTTGGACCTGAAAATATTTGGACAGCAGCACAAACTAAACTAACACATTCATAACAAAACAGTCAACATGTAAGTAGTGTGCAGGAAAATGACATGAACCAAAACATGAAGAGAAATCTGGACTCGTATGTAAACAAATGATAAATGTCATACATGGCTCTTGTCCCGATTCGTGATTGAGGTGAGAGACAAACGACCTCTGGTCCAAGTGCGTCAAAACAATGATTTTATTAAACACGTGTGTGGAAAGATGCACAGCTCGATATTGTCACCCCAGATCTCCCGTCAAAACGTACTTTCAGCATGGTTTTATCATGTCAGGGTTCACGCCCCTTCTCGCGTTAGACAAAACATCACATGTACAGGTTATAATTAACGACAGTTCAACTAGTTTCCGTGTTTAACAGCATTTCCCCCTATATGGTTGTCTGGCTGCTCCAGATGCTTCCTGTAGGCCCGGATCACTAGTTGCCAAGCAGAGACAAAGCTAGATGTCTTTCACCTTTACCCTAGAAATTATACTTCATGTCTATGTGTATGTAAGCGTGTTAGGCACAGGATTGAGTGGTGTAATCAACTCAATCACAATGTACTGTATCACATTCTTATACACTAGGTTGACAATGTGTTGACTAATTGTAACACACAAAACTGACCTGGGTATTGTAGCATGCAGGTCATTTCATCAATATATCAGTTCAGACATAACGCTGAACGACACTTTTAACCTTCATTAGACTGTATGCTTAACGCTATCATGAGCACAAATGTCATACCATGATTGGATATGGGGCGCATAGGGTCAAAAAAATCGGATTTGATGCGCTTTCGCCTGCAGTGTGAACGTAGCCTAAGTAGGAGCTGGTTGGGCCGAGGTCAGGTGAAGGTCATAGTGTTAAAGAAAACCTGCCGAGCTGTGATTATTAAACTCTGCTCGGTTGAGAGGGAACTCCCTCCAGCTCCAGTTGAGGCTGTGTGGTTGAGTCTCCCTGCAGCTTCAGCATTATGACCGTGTGCACATATGCAGAAAGCTGCTGATGATTTGACTCTTACATACGTCACAGATGTTGACACATGAACCTATAACGCGTTACACACACTCATATTTCCTGACTTTCACGTATGAGCCGAGTGCTGACCCGCTGTGTTTACCCATCGGCCTGACCTCAGCTTTGTTTCGTCCTGCAGCTGGGTAAGATGCGACTGATGGTGCCATGCAGGGCTGTGACGTGCTCCCATTTGCAGTGTTTCGATGCTGCCCTCTACCTGCAGATGAATGAGAAGAAACCCACCTGGATCTGTCCTGTGTGTGACAAGAAGGCTGCGTATGAGAGCCTCATCATTGATGGGTAACTGAGCAGGCCGTCATCACAGAAACATGACATACTGGAGATCATTTAAGCAGGACCACAGCTCCCTTTTTCATTTGATCCACCTCATGTCAGTACATGGGGATCTGCACTGGTCTGTGAGGCCTTCCCCAAACTGCAGCCTCATTCATGCTCCTCCCATCCGCCATTATCTAATAGAAATGCTGTCAAACCTAAATGAGGATGTGGTCCAGCTGGTGAAACACTGAACAATCATCCATGTGTGCTTTATGCACCGTTTGGTGCCCGTATGTGTCAGATACTCAGGTGGACTGATGGCTGAGGTCCACCTGTTGGTGACTTGGATCGGGCCTGGGTAGGCTTGGCCCAATTTATAGTGAGGCTGTGCTCAGCTCAGTGTTGTTTACCTGCGTATCTACCTTACAATATAAAGCACCCCGAGGCGACTGTTGTTGCAATGCTGTATAAATAACACTGAATTGAAGGTGGGACCATGAATGTGACGCTGCAAGTCCGTTAGGTGATGCTGAAGGTGGTCAGTCCATCTGCCCCACAGGCTGAATGAAACTCTGGATGACATGTTGGTGTCCCCAGGTGAGAGAGGTTAGTGACGGGAGAAGATGTTAATGTAAATGAAAGGAACAGAGGTGATGAGAGGTTAACTAGGTTTGATGTTAAGAAGAGAAATGCAAGAGGATGGATCGTGGAAAAGGATGGAAATAGCTTTGTTGAAGATGGAGGTAATATGTGAGCAGAGCCAGGTTCACACAGGTACATCTCATTTAAAGGTACCACCTGAAGAGGTAGGAGACTGTAAGGTGGTGGCAGCAACAGTCTACCTAGGCAGTATAGGATGGATGAAGGTGGAGGAAAGGATTACGTGGTGGAAGCTGAAGGCTGACTGTTGCAAAGAGTTGGGGTCTGGGTTGGACTGAAGCACTACAGCACAACTGCCAAGAAGGTGTTTGGGATAGTGTCTGGATAGAGGAAAGAGGACAAGGAGACTTGGTGGTGGAATGAGAACGTATCCAAAGGAAGAGTTCAGCAGATGGTCTGGGAGGGGATGTAGACAGGAGGCTAGGTGTGCAGCCACGAGAGGAGCGGCAGAAGAAAAGGCTTCATCTGAGGCTGGAGAAAAGACCGATTGGCTGGGACGAGAGATTGAAGGACAGAGATGGGAATGTGCAAGTGAAGGAAGTGCACTGAAAACGTCTTAAACAGGAGCTTACTGTCTCTGTGGAGCCAGAGACAACATACTGAGAGGAAGTGTGGTCCTACATGAGGACGTGTGAGGGTGGAGCAGGACATGTATGAGCACAGTGAGGTTTGTGGGCAGAAGAACAAGAGGAAGACCACAGACGAGGCTCATGTATGTGCTGAAGGAGGACACGGAGAGGGCTGGTGTGACAGAAGAGGATGTTAGGCTGAGATGGAGGCAGACCTGTGGCAGCAGGAGCAGCTGAAAGAAGGAAGAGTCTATCTGAAGCCCAAAGCCTGCAAATACAAGACATCCTCCTCATTTTCCCCTCAGCTATAAAAGACTGATGGGGTCATGTTGTCATTTACACCCAGGTTTGTGAAACTGACCTCACAGCCCAGTTTTAATCTGTGCTGCTGGTTTCAGTCAATACACAACTGTCCTGTTTATAAGGCTGCAGTCAGCTGAGACTGAAGGAGTCAGCTGGAGGATGAAGAAACGTTCCTCCCACTGAAAACATCCAGATGAACAGAATCAACTTCCTGGGATTTCCTGACCAGGATCATTGAGCAGTCATTAAGACTTCAGAGAGTTATTCCTGAAGACTGCTGAAGGAATTACAGGAGCGCTGCCTGAGAACAAACGTGTTCATACTAGAGTTGAACTATAAACTGGTTTTGCTTTTTATACAAGATTTAGATTGTTCAGTGCATGTTTGAATGATTCACTGCAGACATTTCTTATTTTCCAAGCAAATGATCAAAACTGAGGCAGGTCTTTAGCCTTCTGCCACAGCACTGCACTCCACATATAATGAATATGCATGTAATCTTCCCTGTGCACAGATGCATATGTGATCAGTACTGATGACATCAGACTGAGCTGTTTGGACATCTCTAACACTGACACAGTGCTGACAGCCTGCGTGACGCGTTCGTGTGACCGTACTTCACATCAGTGTTTTACCTCTCTCTCTCTCTGTGTGTCTCTCTGTCTCTGTGTCTCTCTCTCTCTCCCTCCCTCCCTCTCTTGTACTAAAGATTGTTCTTGGAGATCCTGAACGACTGCTCGGACGTGGATGAAATCAAGTTCCAGGAGGATGGGACGTGGTGTCCAATGAGACCAAAGAAAGACGCTGTAAAGATCCCCACTCAGTCCGTTCCAAAGGTGGACAGTAAGTATCGTCCCCTGCACACCTGGCAGCTTCTAGATGGTGTGGATTCATGTATATGTGAGTCCTGTGGGCACACAGCACTGGCCTGTATGGTGGGCAGGGCTGCAGAGGCTAGTGTGTTAAAACAAATGTCAGTGGCTGCTTTGATTTAGGAGCTTTGTTAAATAAATAAATAAAATATTTGATTCAACTGTATTTATATATCACCAAATCAAAACAAAGGTCTTCTTAAAGCGCTTTATATCGTAAGATAAAGAGTCGACAATAATACAGAGCAGGACTGAAACGTTGAATGTGAGTCATGGAGAAAGGAGGATAAGGCCTGGGACGACCACAGACTATTAGCATCAGGGGGTGATCACGTGACCCTGTTTCTAAAATAGTTTTGTTCCTGTGTCAACAGAAGTCCTGTAAGTTTCCAAAAGAAGGGTGAAGGATGTTTGCAAAGCTGTTAAAGACTCATTGTTGTCTGCACAGCACTGAGAAATCCTTTTAATCTCACTGGGACAGAACTGGGAGAAATGGATTTATTCATGAATCCATCTTTGTGTCATTGTGTTGTAAATGAAACTGTAGGTTTTTGGTGCTTTGACAGTGTTGTTATCAGACCCAATAACTGAGCTGAAAGAGACGGAGAGGAACCGACTGCGTGTCCAACAAACCTCCAGTGAGGATCAGTAATAACAGACCATCATCTTCTCCCAGTGTCCCAACCTTTAAGTCCACTAATGGACTAAAGAGCTTACAGAGTGGCTCCATACATGCTGATTTTAGCCATAAACCGTCTGTTGGCTGAAACCTCACCTGTAGTAACCAGATTCAATTCAGCTCGTTGAAAGATGTGAAAATGATTGCTGTCGGTCTTTTCTTGGGACGGGAGGAGCAGACTCATGTCAGGTGACCTTTACCTTTCAGCCTCGGCTCCTTTGCGTCAACCGTCGGTGGCCCCTCATTCTACTGAGCCCAGCTGCACCAAGAGGGCGGATGTGATCGATCTGACTATAGAAAGCTCTTCTTCTGATGATGAAGAGGACAAAGACCCTCCACCCAAGAAACGCTGCGTCTACATTTCCAAGAATGAGGAGATGCATGCAAAGGGGTGAGCCATGTTTCAGTTTTCCCGTGAACCATCTGGTGTGACCGCGCTGTACCCCAGCATGTTGATGATTACATGTGTGCTCATCAGCTGTGTGTGTTTGTCTTTGATGTTCTCAGAGTGTTGAGCTACCAGCCCACTGTGCGAGTGCCAAACGTCCAGGCCCTGGACCCGTCGTATCTGAACTCCACACTGGCCGACTATGCAGTCCCCTTCCATCCTTCTGCCTTGGCCTCCATCCCCACAGACATGCAGAGTGAGTCAGAGAAACACTCACTGACTGTCAGCTATGTGCACATGGATACTGTTCAAAATCTGATTCTTCTGTCTTTCAGGTCTGGATCTGTTTTCCTTAATTCAAACTGATCCACAGGTATGTGTTTTATGTTCCCTCCTTTTTTTAATGCTGTCTGAACTGACAGCACAGTGACGCAGTCTCATAATGTTCCTGACATGCAAGCTTTCTGTTTGTTTCAGTTAGAGTGGATTTGACATGTGGTGCCAAATGGTACAAAATTCCAAGATTCAAAGCTCGGCTCTTTTGTGTAAGCAGGTCTGACCAAACGTGGCAAAGATTTAGACGATAGATTAACTTCACGTCACGGCAACAACAACTCTTAGTCTGTGCAAATGTTTCTGTGGAAAGCAGAGTAGCATGTCTCAAATGCAAACACAGTAGCCACATAGTGTGCGAATGAAGAGGTTGGCAGAGGCACTATGCAGGAAACATCTCCTGGTACGCATCTTCAGTGATGTATCCTGGGGCCATCAGGTGTTTCGGGTCTCGCAGCATCATAGACCTTCGCCCAGGCGACCCAGCTGGGGGTGATCAGGCCCCGACTTGCGCACCAGTAGCTACCCACGGATCAGCCCTCTTAATCCACAGCCAGCTTGTGGCTTTCCCTGCTGCCTCGCTCACAACCTGGACGGCGCTCTTCTTCGCTGCTCCAGCCACACCCAGCCGGCCTAGGACTTTGCAGAGCGATCGTCCTGCAAAGCCCCTCCATCCCACCTCTATGGGCTCATAGAAAGTCTTTCAGCCCCTTATCCTGCACTAGTTCCTGGTACTTGGCGTGCTTCCTCTCGTTGACCTCCTCGATCCGCTCTTCCCAGGGCACTGTGCGTTCAGCATGAGCAGATGTTTTGAGCCCTCAGAAATGATGATCATGTGTGGGTGCAGGGATGTTTTTACAGTGTGCTGTTTACCCAGGTCAGCCTGCAGCTGCCAATCAGAGGCTGTGTCTGGGGGCCGGTTGTTGAATGTGGGCGCACCTGGGCTTTCTGTCCAGCCTTAATAAAAGAGATTGGCTTCATCAGAGCGTGATGGTGCTTGCTGGTACTGATTGCTGAGGCAATCTTTTCAGCAACTACTCTGAGCACCTGGTCGTGTCGCCAAGAACACGACCATCGGCCAGGGCCTTTGGGCAGCTGCCGAGGATCTATGGTTCCTCTTCCAAAGCACAGGGGACAGGCAGGTGTCTCACTCGTCCCCCACACATGGAGCTTTACTGGGCTTGGCAGGCTGCCTGCACGAGGAATCTGATGCGCTGGAAGTCTGCCTGCATGATGTTTGCCCAGGTGACCTTGAGCTGCAAGGTGCTCTCCCACCTTGTCCACGCTCCCTGCTGCCTGAGACCTCCGGCCCTGCTTACTCGCTCCTCCTCCATACCTGCTCGGACCTCTTCCTGGAGTAGCTGGTGTCTCCTTTCCCTGTGCCCTGCAGGCCTGGGCCTTTGGGAAGCACCCCGAGCCTGCTCCCCCTGTTGCTAAGACCCCCACCGGTGTCTTCTGCCTTAGGTGTGACTCTGTCACCTCAACTGCCTTCTCGGCCTTCCACTTTGTTCCTTACCTCCTCACCTTGTTGCCTGCTGATGTTACCTTGCAGTCTTTGGGATCTCTGTACTGTAGGGCTTCTCTTGTGTGCGCCACCTTGAATCCTCTGTGAGACCACTGAAGACAAAGTGTGCTGGAAGAGTAGATGCAGAGCGAAGACGGGTGGCAAATGCACAACCAGAGTTGTGGTGAGTCGTACAGGAGGCTGCACACTAAGGAAGGAGGAAAGGACTTTTATTTTGTAGATGAAAAGAGTGAATGGGACAGGATATGGAGCTGTTAGGGAGCAGCGCTGTAGTAGCTCCATCCCACGGAGGTGTGGAAGTCCGAATCTTTTTTATATGGCACGTCAATTAGTTTGTGTTTTTGTTTGTTTGTTTGTTTGTTTGTTTTTGACAGATGCTATATGCAGTAAAACTTTCATTTACTCTGACGTTGATCTGACCAGCGTGTCTCTCTGCGCAGCATTACTCGCCTCAGATGTTCTTGGATAACCTGACGAGCAGCATGCAAAATGCAGCTGCAGCAACCAGCAGCCACTATGACGCCATCAGCCACGCCGCCAGCTCCTTCCATGACACTAGGGTCCTCACAGGAGGGGGCGGGGGCACGGGAGGAGGGGCCGACGGCGGCACATCGGATATCATTTCTCTCGATTGAGCCTCGCCGTACTGGACCTGATGGAGCTGGTTTTCTTTTTAATGTGAAATATTGTAAATGTTCAGTTTTCCACACGAGCACTCTGATGATGGCAGCGCCTGTTTTAACAGCATTAGCATGATAAATGCCATGGACCACATTAACTGAAGACATGAGTTTCTTAATCATGTCACGTCATGTTTGCTGTTCATGGTCCTTTAACAACATGCAGACATTTGTACATAAAACGAAAATGTCGTTTTTGGTTTTAGTTGATTGAACTTTGTTTTCTACACGGTGACAGGAAGTCTTGTGACGTACATGGTTACACTTTCAAAGGAAAAGCTTCAGCCTGAGCTCTGTGAACGTCGTCCTGTCAGGACTGGAAACATTTACAACACCGAGCTGTTGTAGCGATTTGTTTCCTTTCATGTAAATCGGACCTGAACTGTGTGCCTCGCCAGTGTGGAGTGGACTCAGAGCGGACCCGCTGCTCTGGGCTGGGCGTAAGAAGACGCTGTCACAGTGAGTGGGTGTTTCCCCACACAGACGGTGGACTGAGCCGTCTCCAGCTCTGGTGGTGTCTGTGGACGTTGTTACAGGGTGGATTTCATGTCATACCAACACAAACTGTTTGTTCTATCGTACAGTAAATGAATCAGAGCAATAAGAGCTTGACAGGTTCGTTACACAGAGCTGTGATTAAAGGTTGCAGACTTCGCTCTAGTTTAACGAACTGCTTTGTGTTTGTAATCAGTGACGTGCTCTCAGAGGTGTTCAGGTGGATGTTAATCTCAGGGTACATGTGATGTATACACCTGCACTATGTTCACAGTGACGTCCTGACGTTCTTCACATACTGTTTCCCGTTTAATAGTTTCCATAGTTACAGCAGACATGTCGCCTTGTCACAGCAGGCAAAGCATCCATGTAATCGAAGCTCACGTCTGTGGCAACGCTGCTGCCTCATTAACATTAGTTCATGTCACAGGCGCGCAGTTATTGTTGGTGTTATCATCATGTTGAGTCCACGCCCTCAGTCATGTCTGTCCATCAGTCCCGCCCACATCACGACTCATTTAAATGTGAAAACGAACAGTCATGACGCTCATCGCTCTCACAAAGGAAATCCAGACTTTGAGCCGTTCCCGTGTCTTCAGTGTGTTAACACGTACGAACAGTTCAGAGGATGTGATGTGTTGGCGCAAAACTGCAGGTGCAGACATTTCCTGTTTGAGTGCACACACACGCACGCACACACACGCACGCACGCACGCACGCACACACACGCACACGCACGCACGCACGCACGCGCACACACACACGCACACACACGCACGCACGCACGCACACACACACGCACGCACACACGCGCACGCACGCACGCACGCGCACACACGCACGCACGCGCGCACACGCACGCACGCGCACACACACACACACACACACACACGCGCACGCACGCACACGCACACACGCACACACACACGCGCACACACACACACACACGCGCACACACACACACACACGCGCACACACACACACACTCTGTCTCCCAGCAGAGCAGCAATGGTCCCATCACAACATTAATCTGCGCTCAGCCAGTCTCAGGGAGTCTCAGCTTTCTGAAGTGGCTGCATTAATTCAAAAACAGCCACATGAAATTGTTAAAGTTATAAAAATAGAGGGACGTAGAATATTTTTAGGTCACTTTGTACTTTTTCAATTCAGAAGCTGAATATTGTGCTAATAAATGTGGGTGTGGACACATTAAGGCTGTGTGAATCCATCACAACATGAAACAAATGAAGATAAATGTTTGAGCAGGTGTCCTGTGACTCTCTCGCTCCAGAAATGAGGATTTAATTGGAACTATTAGGACATGAGCGAAAACGTCGTATGAACTATTCTCAGAATACCATTTTCTGTATAAAATAACGGTAAGAACGGCGTGCTTTAAACTTCCTGCCTGTTCGCACCTTTATTAACACACATGATTGGAGTGTTCATAAAGACGACTGGTTCCCTGTAGGCAGATGGTAGTGGATCCACTGGTTTCTGTGTTACTTTATTTTATACTTGTACCATTTTTCTTTAAACAGTGTTGACAGAAAAGGCTTGTTGTGTTTCCTGTATTCATCAGCGTCCAGAATCGTGGTACGTGTAGTTGTTTTTTATTATTAAATATTTTCTTTTGTAAACAGAATTTGTTGGTTTTGAAAATGGGTGAAAAAATGTAATTCAAGGAAATGATGGTGTGTCCGTATGATTGTGAATGTCTGTGTTACACTCAAAAGCAGAGCTGCTCCAGAACGACCCGTGAGTTCAGAAATATAGATAAAAAAAGTAAGATGTGCTTAAGAAGTAGGTTTTCATCCTGCTGTGGCTGCCAGTGATAACTGTGCCTCACATTTATGAAAGTACTGGAGAGACTGGTCCTGACCCACTGAACACCAGAGGTGAAAAACCCTTTGACCCTCTAAGTTTACTTAGACCAAATCTGGGAATGTGTCAGGTAATCATCTACATCAGTCCTCCTCAAACTGTGGTACACGTACCACTAGTGGTACTTGGGCTCTCTCTGGCTCCGGCTCCCAGGCTGATCTACATGTAGCAGAGAGCTTGTGCTCATCTAGATAGTCATGATTCAATGGGGAGGATCATTTTCTTTGATTCGAGGAAGAAAAACAGGGAGGATTCAGGGTCACCTGGTCCAGCCCTAACTATATGCTTTAGCAAAAAGGAAAGTTTGAAGCCTAATCTTGAAAGTAGAGATAGTGTCTGTCTCCTGAATCCAAACTGGAAGCTGGTTCCACAGAAGAGGGGCCTGAAAACTGAAGGCTCTGCCTCCCATTCTACTTTTAAATACTCTAGGAACAACAAGTAGGCCTGCAGAGCGAGAGCGAAGTGCTCTAATAGGCTGATATGGATATTTCTAACTTTAGAGATGTTGCACAAATGGAAGAACGCAGTCTTACATATTTGTTTAATATGTGCATTGAAGGACATGTCCTGGTCAAACATGACTCCAAGGTTCCTCACAGCATTACTGGAGGCCAAGGTAATGCCATCCAGAGGAAGAATCTGGTTAGATACCATATTTCTAAGCTTTTCAGGGCCGAGTACAATAACCTCAGTTTGATCTGAATTAAGAAGCAGAAAGTTAGCGGCCATCCAGGTCTTTATGTCTTTAAGACATTCCTGCAGTTTAACTCATTGGTGTGTGTTATCTGGCTTCATGGACAGATAGAGCTGGGTGTCATCTGCATAGCAGTGTAAATGTATGCTATGTCTTCTAATGATGCTGCCTAAGGGAAGCATGTATAATGTAAACAGAATTGGTCCTAGCACTGAACCCTGTGGAACTCCATAATTAACCTCAGTGTGTGAAGAGGACTCTCCATTTACATGCACAAACTGGAGTGTATTAGATAGATATGATACAAACCACTGCAGCACAGTACCTGTAATACCTACAGCATGTTCTAATCACTCTAATAGGATATTATGGTCGACTATGATATAAAGGAAGGTTGGAGATTGGCCTATAATTAGCTAAGACTGCTGGGTCTAGAGATGCTTTTTGAATAAAGGTTTAACTACAGCCAGCTTGAAGGCCTGTGGTACATAGCTGATCATTAGAGATAGGTTGATCATATTTAAGATCGAAGAATTAATTAATGGCAGGACTTCTTTGAGCAGTTTTGTAGGAATGGGGTCTAAAAGACAGGTTGATGGTTTGGAGGAAGTAATTATTAGGGTGACCATATTCTGATTTCCAAAAAAGAGGACACTTGGCCCAGTCATGACGAATTTTAATAATACTGTTTGTTTAAAGAAAATTTTAACATATTTAAATGATGTCTTCTCTGTGCAGTAAATGAGTGGTGAAATAAAAAAATGTCTTATAGGCTTTTACAAGTCAAGAAGTGCAAAAAAATAATTCAAAAACCTCTAGAATTAAATAACGTTACAGTAATAATACCTCCTTTGTATAAGAAAAATGACCAGTGAGGTACCAGTGAGGTATTGTGCAATGGTTTCTGCTGTCTCATTTCGCGTTTCTACCCTCAATTAATTTTTTTTGCATGCCACCATTCTTCCAGTCAAAGTACGATTGGGAATATTTTCTCTGTTCCTGGTTACTGAAGTCTGAGAAATGCCACAGTACTGGATTTTATGAAGAGCCAAAGAGTGACTTCAACTGAATGTAGCACTATGACACCATTGACAATAGCTTCAGTCTTTGTTAAAGTCTGGAAATGCTTCTTTTTTTAGCAACACACTAGTGCAATCCATGGATCTGTAGCTATTGTGACGCTTCATAGTATGAAATGCACCTTCTGCTGCAGATGCAACATCCTCGTTTTCCCAGGTGTAACAAAGAACTCCGTCAACTTACTAGATGAATTTTCGCCTCGCACAGCCTTTATATGCAGGGTGCACGTAAGTGGTCCGCAGGTGCGCATTGGTGTTTCCTTCAGGATCAAAATGATATCAAACTTGATTCTGATGATGACAGAGGGGTTAAACTGATTCAAATGACTCTTTTCTCCAACTCACATCAACTGTTTTATTTTGAAACTCTGAGTGTGTTGAAGCTGTTTCCTGGTGCAGAACCCTGAACAATTAGAAAAAGCACAATAAAAACACTTCATGTCATCTGTGTTCATGAACTTGACATCATGCAGTTCATCTTCTCACCAGCAGAGGGCCACAAACCACCATCAATGAAGAGTCCAAGGAGATGTAGTGACATCAGAGCTGTGTGTATTGATCTGATCAATATGGAAGTTCATGTTTCTTTAATTGGGTCAGTTTTTAAAAGCAGCTGTTTTTATAAAGAGACAGAAACATGAGAGATGCTGAATGTCTTTAATATTTGATACACTGAGTTATAGATTTTGTCCAGAACAGCAGCCTTTAGACTGCAGACGGCACAGAGGCTGCTGTGTGGCTGTGGTCACAGCTGGATGGCTTCTGCTCAGGTGCTGCTTAGGAGAGCGGGCCGGCTTGGTTTGGATAAACTCCTCTTTCTTCTGAAGTTGGATCAGGTGGATCTGTCTGGACTTGTGCCATTTTACAGCTCGGTGGTGAACACCTGGCGGGCGCTGAAGGTCGCTCGTGCTCCTGACCCCAGACCTGGGATGTGGCTTTTCGAGGAGCCGCTGTTTTTTAATGACTTCATTCCCAGCACTGTGTTTTCTTCTGCTACAATATGGACCAAGTTTGTGGAGGCTGGCGTTGTCAAACTGGGTCATCTTACAAGGATGTCTCTGGGTGCACTTGGTGGTGTCACAGGCATTAAGTCCTACAGAGTGTTACAATCATTGTCAGCATCAACCAACCACTAGAGGAAGGTAGAGTGCTGCAAGCACCAACAGCAGTAGCAGCACAAACAGAGTTAAATTGACCTGCAGGCCAAAATATATGCATGCTAACCATGTACAGTGGTCGTCTCTGTCATTTCTACTACCTTATGACTAAAGACATCAGTGTGAACGCATATATATATATGTGCCCTACTCTAGGAATAATTATTAACAGGTCAACCAAACCCATCACTGTGGTTGAACTGCTGCATAAGAGACTTTGCGCTGCCCTTGGTGTAAAGCATTGATGCAGCTGCTCGGCCACTGAAACTGATTCCATTGCTGTTCTTGAGCTCATCTGAAGGCCACGTCAAGTTCAGAGGTCTGTAGGAATTGACTTTGCAGAAAGTCGGCGACTTCTGATCCTGC